TAAAGGAAAACTTGAAATCTTGGCAAAGAAAATCAAATAAAAAAGTAAAAAAAAACATCAAATAACATAGTAAATACAAAATAACTCAAACTAAAAACATTTACTTAATATAAGACATAACATAACTTTTAAGATAAAAACATTTTGATAACACATTAATAATTAAAGTATAATTTGTACAATCATGTAGATAAAATATAATTATAACTCATAAAAAAAATGTAACAAAGACAGAAAATAATCATGAGAATGTTCATACTTAAACACTAATTTAATCAAATACCACAACTTTACTCTTAAATTATATTCATTAATCTCTCCCTTGAATTGAGTCTTTGAACTTAAATTTATATATATACCTAAATTTTCATATTTATTTTATTTAATAAAAATATTCTTCCAATAATCCTTTAAATATATATTACGATAATGATATATAATTAATATACCTATTATTCAATTATACGTAATATTATATTAATAAATTAATAATCAATAATAATCATATAAATAATTATTTAAATATTTTAAAATAAATTTTTTAAACAATTTTATTTTATTATTTTATTTACATGTTAATATTTATTTTATTTTGTCAATATTCTTATTCTCGTTTTGAGATTGCCTTTATATATAAATTTTTCCTTATTTTGAATATTTAAAAGAGCGCAATCTAATATATTGAGTAATTTGAATTCCTTAACTAATATCTTTAAAAGTTATTTATTATTTGTATATATTAATTTATGTGTAAAAGATATATTTGAATACTGTATATTGTTGTGGAGGTAGTTACACTTTTTCTGTATCTCCTCATCCCCTTCCTTTTTCTATCACGGAATGCATCGGCATTTGACTCTGAAAAGAATATTCTCAAAATTGGTGAAAAACATCAATAGTGAACAGCGAATCGACCATCCATATTTTTCTTTTATTTTTTCTCATCCTTTCGGTGATACGGACTTAATATGAAAAATATTAATGAAAAGTGGAGAGGTTACTTTGCTGTGAGTTTCTTGTACGGATAAGAGTTTCATAAGAAAATCAATAAAAAGGTCAGTTAAAAAAAAAAAAAACTGGAACCACCTAGCATGCTCATAAATTCATATTCAGAGTTGTTAAAATGGAAAGTCTATTGTAAGATAGTAGGAAATAGATCAAAATTTTTAATTTAGTTTCATAATATGTTAGATCAACGAATCAAATAATTAAAAATATTTAAATAAAAATAAAATTATATTTTTTAAAATTAAATTTTATTAATTAAAGTAATTTTTTTTAATATAATAATTTAATATAAAATAATATATCTATTAAATCTCAAAGAAAAAATTAAAAATTTATTCCTATCATTATTTTTTTAAATAATTTATTAATTTAAAATAATAATTAATCTTAATTATTAGATTTTAAAATAAGTGATAGTTAGAAATTTATTATGATATATATTCTTAAAATAAATAAATCTTTTGTCATATTACTTTATAATATATATTTTTTAATAAAATAATGATATTTTTATTTAAAAAATAATTATTATTTTATGAAATATGTTAACTCATAAGCTTATAAATTAATTTAAATTAAATTAAAATATGTCTAATTTAATTTATGTTACTAATTTTGTATTTACTATAATTTAATTCGCAACTATTACCTCTAATCAAGCATACTTTGACACACTTGTTCGTACACTTTAATATATAGTTATTTATTTTATTTTTCATTTTTTTTCATATGCTAAAGATAAAGAATTACACTCTAATGGTTTATAATATAAATAAATCTTTTAACGATGATGGTTAGTTAGGTATAAATAAGCTTTTCAATTTTTTTTTTCTTTTTTCTAGTATCACAACAATGGTTTTAATGTCTAATTTTAAAATTTTATCACTACTTTTAGTTTTTGAAGTAATAAAATTTATAGGCTAAGGTGCAAAATTAATACTAATTATATCATTAGTAAAATTAACCTCGATGATATTACGAATCACGGAATACCAGAACAACTATATCACTTATGAATGGAAACTCATCATTATACTAAGAAGTGATTTTCTAAAATGAAAAGAAAAATAGTAATATAAGTATTTTTCAGATAAGGATATCTAATTTGTCCAATATTTTACTGTTAAAATTAGTTTATTACTTTAATTATATAAAATTTTATATACACGTATTTTCTTGAAGATAATAGTAAAAGATTAAACAATTCAATTATTATTTTTTGTATTTATTAAATAATTGGCTAAAATATGAATATAAGGTGTACCTCTCATAAATCTTTGATATTTATCTATATAATATTTATTTGTATTATTTTTAATTATTTCTAAGTTTTTTTTCTTTATATTCTACATTCATTTATTTATTAATTTAAGCATTATAGAATTTTTACAGGTGATTCTCCCTCCACCTCAACACATATTAAAAATGTGTTAATAATTAACAGATTTATAATTAGTTTAATTTACTAATTAATGTAATATTTCAACTAAAGAATAAGTAGGTGTACTTACCAAATATCATACATATACACCACATTACTATAATTGCATATTTATTTAATTTATTATTAAAGTTTGTTAATATGAAGTTGTGCCTTTCCAGAGCAAGTTCTTGTATAAGAAACAAGTAAAGTTAAAAAAAAAAAAAAAACAAGGATAAGATAAAAGAAAGAAGTATATAGCTAGTAAGTGAAGGATATATAGTCTTTTAAAAAGGAATCCCCTTTTTGTTTGTTTTCCTTTTGATATTATATATGAAACAATCATATAATACTAATTTATAGGCAATGGTCGGTGGGACACATAAACTTGCATGAGAATCCATATCCTCCTCCCTTTTGACTTGTAAGACTCAATCGATTTCCAATGTGCGACAACTGGCTCCGCAATTATAAACTTTAAATGGCTAGGGTTAATCACGTGCCTAACATCTAATTGGAGCAACTATCTACTACTCTATCATCAATACCATATTACATGAAATAGGTTGAGAGTTCTGGAAACAATTTATCTCTTTTAAGTTTTCTTATGTAATGTAATATATAAACATGTTTCTTTGGAATGTTATTGTTTATTATCTTTAATTTTTTTTTGACGTTTTATATGAATAATATATTATTAAGAACTTGAGCGTCTAAAAGCTAATCAAAGAGTTTATAGGGTGAAATAAAATATATTTTTTACTACTTTAACTTGATTGTGAATAGGAAATCCAGGCTCAAACAATATATCACTGTTTTTTAAATCTAGACGAGTGAAAATATATGTTCCGCGTTTAAAAGTTTAACAGTCTAATTCAATATAATAAAATAATATTTTTATAATTTAATAAATATATACTAAATTTATTGATGATAATATTTTTTATAAAAGAAATAAAAATAGTAAAAATTATTATTATAATTACATTAAATTATAAAAAGATTATAATTATAAAACATATTAGAGTATAAAATATATAATTGTTAAAATAAAATAAACATGATAAATTAATTATTATCTAAAATTCACATAATTAATATGAGATAAAAAAATAAAAATAAAAATATATTATATTTTTATAAATAATTATATTAAAAAATATTTTTTATTAAGATTTAAAAATCTAACTAATTTTTTGAATTTTATTTTAATTTAATTAAAATCTGATTATTTATAAATAATAAATTAATTTTCAGTTAAAGTACCCATTAATTTTCAAACCAGTGATAAAGGTTCCTTTCACTCTCCAATTCCATAGAGAATTCCTTTTTTCTATATCATAAGCGATCTTAGAATCTCTTGGGTAAAATTGAATTTTCTATAGAGACTACAAGTCCTAGTAAGCAGGTGGTTGATGAAAATCTGTTGACTTAAACGCTCTGGTCAATTTTATGTGGTTATATGATAAGACATACGATATTGTTATAAAGAAATACAAGTCTTATTTTTACTTGACCACTCCAAAATTTATATCTATACTATTTTTTTTTAAGGAATAACATATATACCATTTTTTATACCAAAAATAAGCATTTATCATGTTCATTAAATAAACTAAAATACTAATATTATATCATATTAAAATATGATTTTATTAATATATAACATACTGACACATGTCATTTATCTTATAAAATTTAGCTCAAATCTCTTAAATAAATATCAAATTGAAGTTTTGTAGATAAAAAATCTGTAAGTAATGAAAATATAAGCTAAAAAAAATGTTCAATCAGATTCTTGATGAGGAAGAGTTAAAGATAAAATCAAGTTTCTTTTAGAGATATTTTAATTAATAGTAAAATTAATGATCATTTTATGTTAATATTATAACTATCCAAAATTAATATTAATATAAGTAATTAAGTGCTAAAATAATACATTTTAGAAAATCTTTTATCCTTCAATAAATGGCATTTCTTTTACATCACCAAAAAGAAAAATAACATTTCTTTTGTAGTACTTATTTTACTACATGACATGTAATGCGAATGAAGCAGCAGTTGACTTGTCTAACATAGTACATCGAATATTGTTTTTTTATCATAATATTAATTTGATTATTAAAATTAGAAAAAAAAATATGCATATGAATTTTGCTCTGCTGCATCAAGGTAGGCATACAATTGAAGCAAGAAACTAGGGACTTTTTGTATCGTTTAACTAGGGACAATTAACTAACTGGATAAAAGAAATTCATTACAGAGAAAATGTTTTTATTTATTTATTCAAATTTATTAATAAATATAAAATTAATCATTTAATTATTTTATTTCTTGATTTTATAATTTTCTACAAATTTAATGATTAAAAAGTATATTAGAAAATGTTCTCATATAATGGTTCTCACTTAATATAATAATCCTATGTACACACAACAGAACACAACAGACAAAAATGTTCCCTCCTCCTTCCATAAATACAGTCATCAACCTTTATTTCTTTTTGTGCTTTCAGCATATAACTTGAGATCCACTGAAACTCCACACCTCTTCTTCTTTTCCTCAGATCTTCATGCCAGTAGGTATGCTCAGAACATTAACCAGGTTCGTCATCTTCAATATATATATATATATATATATATATATATATATATATTCATTTCCAATCTGTACTAACATCAAACCTTAATCACTTAATTATTTGGTCAATGTCTTTCTTCTTTCTTTTTATTAATCATTACTTGGAGGTTTGAACTTCTGGGTTTTAGTTTAAACCTTTGTCTTCTGATTATGATTCACCAATTCCTCTTTTGCAGGGAGTTCAAGCGCACCACCCTTGCGAATGACTTGCTTCAAAAACACAGCAGATTCTATGCAGCTACGGTTGGTGGAAGAAGGTGAGTCTCTTTAAAGCTCTTTACTATCATTGCCAGTCTTTAAGTCCTGCTTCATTTAATGAGTGCTAAATTCTTTGAAAGATTGAAATATAATTTTAAGAGTAGAAACTTTTTTTTTTTTTTTTTTTTTTAAATCTTGTTGAAAGTTTGTATTTATATATAAATTTGTCTTTGAAAATGTTAACTTGTTAACAAATTCACCCTACCTTGTTTTTCTTTTACTTTCTGGGAACCGAGACTAGGTTAGTGTGGAGCAAGCTTTATTTACATATCAGAGAAAAAAAAAAGTTATTCTCTGAAGTTTTCAACTTTCTTTCATGGTAGAATGGTGATGGTGTTGCTTGGAATTAACTTGTTTCAGATTTGAGTTATATATTTCACCACAGAGGAAGTAAAAACCTAAAAAATATCTATCTTGTTCTTAACATCAGATGAGACCCTGTCCAATAATTCTCTCTCTTTCTCTGTCATCACCATTTACATTCCAGATGTGAACTGTTAATGACATGTAGATTAGATAAGAAAGAAAAAGTGAACAGAAAAAAGGTTGCTGCAAATCTAAGAACACTGGTTAATTGAATTTGAGTCAGTGGCGTTGACAAAGAAAAAGCATCGCACTGTAGAACATATATAGTTAAGTACACAAGTCCCTTGAAGTTAACAGAGGCAAGGAAATAAATTTAAACAATGACAAGTGAATTCCGTGAAGCACATGGAACAAATGGTGCTAGCTGCCTCCAATTTGCATGTTCTCATGCTGTAGATCTACCAAACACAAACAGCTAACGCGATTTAATTGCCCAATTTTATTTTTTAACGTGTCAGCAGCTAATTAAGTGATTCTAGTACATTTCCCAACAAATAATGGAGCCAAACAGTACACAGATCGAAATCAACCTCAATTGCCTTTTACACAACAAAGTCCTTTTCTTCTTGGTGACCACCACATTCTGAACCAGAGAATTTGTAAGTTAGTGTCACTTTTATTCATTTGTAAATGTTTGTGGAAAAAAATATTTAAAGAAAGTCTTAATTAGATTATAATAGGTCATAGATGTAAATTTCCTTACCAGTTGGTAGGTTGAAAGAAAGAAAAAAAGTAGGTTAACTTTGTTGTTCTTGATATGTAAAAGCAAACCCCATTACCTAGGGTACTTCCTTTACTTGTTTGCTCTTACTTTTTCCAAGTCCTTTAAGGAATATGCAATCTAAATCAATCTTGTAAGAAGAGGATTTGGTCCACGACATCATCCTCCAACTTTGCGAAAAAGAAATTATGCTTTCGATTTAGACGTAGAGATAAAGGTGATGGCATTATTTAGAGAGAGGCCATCATCATTTATGAGTATTCCATTATTCCCATGATCCCATCTGCACAAACTACAACTTTTATTCCCCCATGATGATTGACAATCACCCATTTCGGTTCCAAAAAGCAGGCTAGAGGGGAAAGTGGCACTCATAACAGGCTCAGCAAGTGGACTTGGCAAGGCAACGGCCCATGAGTTTGTCAAGCATGGGGCCCAAGTCATCATTGCTGACAACGACACCAAGCTTGGGCCACAAGTGGCAAAAGAGTTGGGCCCATCAGCCCGTTATGTGGAATGTGATGTTGCTGTGGAGGCCCAAATTGAAGAAGCTGTGAATGTTGCCATGGCCCACTATGGCAAGCTGGACATCATGTACAACAATGCTGGCATCCCAGGCCCATCATTTCCGCCAAGCATAGCAGATCTAGACCTTGATGAGTTTGACCAAGTTATGAGGATCAATGTAAGGGGAATGATTGCCGGTATAAAGCATGCAGCCAGGGTCATGATACCTGTGGGCTCAGGGTCCATTCTATGCACATCAAGCATATGTGGGGTAATCGGTGGGCTTGGGCCTCATCCTTATACAATATCAAAGTTTGCAATACCTGGGGTAGTGAAATCTGTGGCTAGTGAGTTATGCAAAGTTGGGGTCAGGATCAATTGCATATCCCCAGCTCCAATTCCTACACCAATGGTTTTGTCTCAAATTGAAAAGTTTTATCCTGGTTTAACCCAAGAACAGATAGAGGGTATTGTGATTGGGTTTGTTGGGCTCAAAGGTATCAAATGTGAGGACATTGATGTGGCAAGGGCGGCATTGTACCTGGCATCAGATGAAGCAAAGTTTATCTCAGGCCAGAACCTCATAGTTGATGGAGGCTTCACCAGCTTCAAAAGTCTCACATTCCCTTTTCCACATCAAACTGATCAACCCGAACAAACTGCTAACTGAGTTTAGTTTGTTTCTGTGCACTGTCAGTGTAAATCAACCAATCCAAAATCATGTTAGGCATGCTTGTTATAATAATTATCATAAAAATCAACAAACCTGTGTAATTTATGATTGTAAGAGTGTAAAATTTCTTAGTACAAACTATTTTCTCACGTTAGTTTGTGTGATGCATTGTGATTGGCTTATGAATATCTTGGAGCATTTTCTGTCTAATCCAATGGAGAGAGCGTTGTAGTACACCTATTTTGAGATTGACTAAAGTACCTGTGTAGGACACATAACGGTGAAGAGATAAAACTCTTGTGGTATATGTTTAAGGCATAGAGATAGGGATAAGAGAGTCCTACACATCTGGTCTGGCCCAAGGGAGGGTAGACATGAGCAAACTGGCCTATATTTGATAATTCCTTATGGTTACTTTTGTTTACCAACATTTAATGTGATGGGACATATTGAAGGTACAAGTGACTCATTTGTACTTGGATAATTTCATCGACATCAAAACATAAAAGTTTAATTTTCCAAATTTTATTCATATCACGAGGGTCACAACTCAAAATATAAATAAACTTACCCAACTAGCATATAGTGTAGTCATCAAGATGTTTATAAACTTACCAAACTACCTACCTAACATCTCAAGGTAGAATAATATGGAATAATGAAATTAACAACAAATCATAGTCTTAAAGTTTATCATTTTTAACCAGAAATTATTGAACCTGTTACAGAATCATGTGCATGATTTTACATATTTTCAAATTCAACAAGAGTTTGGAACTTATCTTACTGTACAGAATCTTTCTTATACTATTTATGCATTTAACAAATTTACTTTATAGTATGTTTTCTTTAAGAGACAAAAGTATCCAATGAGATTTGTCCCTATAAAAAATCTATTTCCTATATTAATAGAGACAAAAGGAAGTTTTCGAAAGACAAAACAGAAGGACAGTAGACAGACAGAACACAATTATCAAAGAATTGATCTTTCAAATGCAAACATACGACGATAAGGATAACTTTTCGTTTTCTATATTTTGCCACGAAATTTGTGTAAGTTCAATGTTCATTTACAAACCGAGGTGAAAGGAATACTACTCTTTACAAACAAGGTACATATTTTGCATATAATTTTTGTTTAATATATAAATATATTAATATGATTCTATTTTAATTTTATAATAAATAATTTTATTTGTAAGTAAGATTAGTTTTAATTGCTGAAATCTCTTTTTAAGAGTATATTAAATTTAAATTTTAAAATAAAAGAAAATACATTGAAATAAATGAATATTTAAAATGATTTTAATATAAAATTGAAACAATAAGAGAATAGTCTGAGACGATGAAGATAATTTTTTTCCAAACATAATACACGAAATAGATATCCACTTGAAATAAAAAGAGAATCTAAGTTACATATTCTAAAATTAATTAATTAATTATATAAAAGTTAGATTAACTATTTGAATGAGAAAGTTTTAGTTAATTATTTTTAACAAAGAAATTTTAGGATTTTTTTAATCAATATTGTAACTCTTTAAATATATTTTTATTTGATTTTTAAATTAAATTTAAAAAATTTACCAATAGATTAAGTGAATTTTTTTAATAAGAACAAAATTATATTTTTAAAATAAATAATTTAAAAATTATAATTATATATATATATATATATATATATATATATATATATATATATAGTATAAAATATAAAAGCATGTGTATGTTAGAAGAAAGAAATAATTGGAGCTGAAACCAATTTATTCATGAGCTGTCCTCCCTTTGTATTTGTTAGAAAAAATCTTTCCTTCCCTCTTTATGTCATTTTCAAATAATTTAATATTTTGTAAAATATGTAAGAAATTAAAATGAGAAAAATCTGCACTTTGTATGGAAAAATAGAAAATTAAATGAAAAATGGAGAATACAAAAAAGTTAAAAACTAATGGAGGGAAAAAAATCATTTATAGGCTCACATGTATTCAAATCCAAGATAGATTTTATATATTTATATAAATATAGACTGCATATATTTATGTTGACTTACATAAAGATGAAATCTCTACCTAAAACAATATTATATTTTTTAAGTGTTTTAATTTTTTATAAGTATGCATATATTTGGTAATCATTTTAAGTGAAATTGTGTTTATTAAATCATGAAAAAAATTATTTTATTCATAATTAATTTAATGAATTTATCTTAATAGTTGAAATAAATAGGTAAGGGAGTATATATAAAAAAGTTATCATTAGTATTAATATTTATATCAGTATAATAATTATTTTCGTTACACTCGTTACAAAGGTTATATAACAACGTATTAACATTTATATTATATGAATAAATCTATTTAATTAAAAATAAATATTTTACAGCTTAAATAATTTTATTAATTATTGGGTAAATTTAAAAATTTTGGTAGTTAATACTTTATACTAATCTTATGTTAAAAAAAAATTGAATTTGATTAAAATGGAGAGAGTGTGTGAGCTGTGAAGACAATGACTTTCTTAAATCCTTTGCCATTCAATTACTATGGTCCACACTACATGGTCTCAACCCTGCATGATGGGTTTGTGCCTTCTGCAATCTGTCCCTTCTGATTTTTTTTCTAATCTACTTCTAAAGATGGTCATGGCTAATCACATTTTAAAAAAAAAATCTACATGTATTAATTATATATAAATACATATCATTTTAAAATTTTGAGTTCTGGTTATTTAAAAATTAAAATTAAATATAATTTTTATATATTCTCCTCTTAATTTAAGTTTTAAAATACAAATTTATTTTATTGTTTTCAAGGAGTTTCCGTTCTCTTGCCTCTTGCATGCTATTCACTCACTTTCTATCCCCACCATGCTTGCATGTGAGCCACGTGTGTTGCCGAGACAGCAACGATGGTGTCACGTGACTAGTGATTATGTTTGAAACTGTTTCGTACAGTGTGTGTTTTACAGAGAAGATGGACCCAAAAACCCATGTTTGCTATGCGACCAACGATGTTTTACTTTTCTATGCCAGTGCGATAGAGTTTTACCAGACACCGTCGTCTCAGCTGACTCAGTTCGGAACTAGGTTGAACTTTTCTTTTTCATCCATGTATTAGGTCAAATATCCACTTATGACTAATCTTAGTAATTAAATTCATTAGCCAATAAAACAAAAAGTTTTTCTTGTACAATTCAACCTCCGACTACTTGTAAGAGGCTAGAAACTAATTTCATTCAAAATAATAACATAATAGTAATTAATGTGATATATATAATTCAAAATAAAATTAAAATATTTTTTTTTATAATTTAATAATCTAACGAGTAAAATTATTTATTATATTAAATTAAAATAATAATAATAAATATAACTTTAAATTTATTTTTATAATAAATAATTTTATTATTATATATATAAGATATTTATTAATTATAAAAATAAGATCACAAACTTTTTTTTTTATAATAATATATATAACAATTTAAATTAATTGTTTATATTCTAAACAAATAAATATTTAAAATAAAAAATAACATCTATCTAGAAGTATAAATAATATTAAAAAACTATTTCTCTTTTTTTTAATTATATTTTTGTTGTAATTATTATTTTATTGGTTTTAATTCTAGTTATTTGAAATTTACTGATTTTGTTTACTTTCCTGTAAGAATTTTTTTAAATAATATTTATCTAGAAGTACAAATAACATTAAAAAAAACATTTTTTTCTCTTTTTTCTTAGTTTGAAGTTATATTGTAATTATTATTTTATTGATTTTAAGTATTATAATTATTCAAAATTTACAAATCATTCTCAATTTTGGTAAAAATAAATTAAAATATTTTATTTTTAATTCAATCGATATATAAATAAAAGTCAAGAGAACAAAGTATAATTGGGGATTATTTTTATTGAAATTTATTTTCTATTTATTTTAATTTTAAATTATGATTAATTTAGGTTCTTGGTTATATTTTGTTTACATATATTAGAAGATTGTATTTTATTTTTTGATTAAGGAGTTAAATATTTGTATATATTGTTCTGTAAATAAATACAATTTTATTTTGGTGAATGCAAGTATGTGCATAATATTTTTCCTATAACTATGTGAGAGTATAATTAACTTTTTATAATGTTTCACTACATATTGATTAAAGTTATAGATGTTATAAAAAATAAAAAAACTAATTTATGATTCATTCACATATTCCTCTAAACATAAGTGTGTTACTTTTATCATTCCTTTCAATTGCTACCTATACAAAATTAACACCATTAATTGACATTATCATAATGATAATATGTATTATGCTTTACCTTAGTTCAAATATTTATATTATTTTGATCCTTACATGAATTCCACATCGATCAATATCTATTAATGGACTTAAAAATAATAACAAAACAATAATAAAAAACTTTAATTTCCTTAAAGTTTGATGAAATATCTTGGTGAGTTTGTGATTACAAGGAGAGAGGGACAAGTGTAGGAGAGATATAATTAGTGTCGAAGAAGAGGGAACTGAAAAGTTAGGATGAGAGTTTGAAGTTGGATTGAAGAGTGTGTAGATGTGATAAAAACAGGGATAAAAGGGGTCACGAGAAGCTTGAGTTTGTTTTCAAAATTTATTCCAAATACTTGGCTTTGAATATTGCTGAATTCAAATGGAAACTTGGGGTTTCAGTTTCTTGTTCAAGCCACCATAATTCTATGTTATACTAAAGAAGATAAATAGCTATCAGGTTCAAATCTTCTCCCATATTAATATTTTATTATTAAATTGTAAAATAAATATTTTTATTTGTTTATTGTTTTTAAAAATAATTTTTGGTTTTTAAAAACTGAAAATTTTGTTTGAGAATATTTTGTTAAAATTATATTTATTTTGAGTTTTTAAAAACTAAAACACATTAATCAAATGTATTTTCTCTTATGATTTTTTATTTCTGCTGAAAGGGTAACGTTTATCAAATAACTACATTATCAAAATTA